TGCTATGTCTAGGCGATATGCCCCAAAAATAAAATCTCGATTTTTTTTTTTTTTTTTCAGAACGACTGAATCGCGATTTCGATTCTTTTAATCTTTAACTAGACAACTTAAAATCGTAACTTCAATATGATTCAAGTGACATTCTCTTTATTAACCACGACCTGATCAACATGCTGGAAATGAATCAAATATGCACGAAATATTTAGGGCTGTGAAACGATTAATCGCGATTAGTCGCTTCCAAAATGAAAGTATATGTGTGTGTGGTGTGTATAATTATTTTGTATATATAAATACACACACATGCATGTATAGATTTAAGAAATATATTTATACAAAATTAATATTATACATAAATATAAATATTTGATATATTAATAACACATTTTTCTTAAATATATACATGCATACAAAATAATTGTACACACCACACACACACATATATTATGTAAACACAAACTTTTATTTTGGATGCGATTAATCGCGATTAATCGTTTCACAGCCCTAGAAATATTAAGGCAAATGTTGTACAAATGTGTCTTAAACATACTCAGAAGTAAATAAAAAATGTAAAAACGGAAAGTATTTCGTAGCCAAAAAGTAATAACAACAAATAACAGCAGTAATAGGCTATTATTAACTTCAAATTCTTCGTAAAAACTAAAAATAACAGCAGATTTCAGCCTGTCACCATCATACAAACATATATACCAAACATACGGTAGTAGCTCTTTACAGGTTTTTATGTTCCAATGCGCTATTTTACTATGCACTGATATGAACATTTTGGCCGAGTCCGAGAACCGATAATTCTTTATATTTGAAAGCTGATAAATCTAAATCCAAATTTTTATATACATTTTGATTACAAATCTCACCATTAAAATCCATGTCCCAAACACACATTTACAGTATAACGTTCTCATTTGTAATTTTATGTAGCCGATATGACAGGCTTGCGCTGCACATATTGCACATTACTGTATTTTCCTTTTTTAAAGTGATTTCAAGCAATTCAAAACCGTCATGTTGAACAGTGTGCATCTGAGTCTCAACTGAAGGAAATGATACATAATTTATCGGCTTTAATATATCGGCCGATAACAATAACATTAAAAATGAACATATATCGGCTGATACCGATATGGTTGCCGATATATCGTGCATCCCTATATTTTCCTTGTTGCACTCGTTGCGTCTAGTGTCTTTGAAACTGCATTCGAAAAACATGGCAGTCAAGTTAAAAAAAGTTAAACTCGCCCGTCTCTTATTTTTTTCAAAGCAATAACGCATTTCTCAGTGAACCGACATGTTCATCATGTGGTCGGATCATTTTCTTGTCTTAACTGTTATCATAGCTAAATTGTCAACATGTCTAATTGTAACATGAACCGATTTAAAAATAATAAAAACGTGGAAAAACATTAAATTCAAATTCATCAAAAAAAATAAAAATAAATTAAATGACCCAGCCCAAGTTATGGGCATTAAAACTAGAGCCAGACCGATATATCGGCAGGCCGATATTAGGCGTTTTCCGAACTATCGGTATCGGCAGTTATAATGGCCGATAAATTAATATTTCAAAAATAAAATAAATACGGACGAAACACGCTGTATAGTTGTATAGTTTGTCCACCAGAGGGCACTCTACAATGTCCCTGTTGGCAACACTCGTTGAGTTGGGCACGATACATACATCGCTTGAATAACAATTAAAAGAACATCCGCATCAGTTCTCTTAACTCAAATAAGCATGACAACATTTGTGACTATCATGTCCAGTTTAAAAAAGGAAAAAGAAAAAAAATAAAAATAAATAAAATATCGGCCGATATATCGGAATATCGGATTTTAAAACCCCAAAATTTTTGTATCGTATCGGCCTTTATCGGTCGGGCTCTAATTAAAACTGATAATAACTGTTTGATTTTCTATTGTTTGAATTCATAAAATTGTTACTGGCCAAATGGCAATTGACTCATATACTCACCAACACCGAATTTAACTCTCATTTTGCGTTTGGCGAGTGTTCATTTTAAACAAATTTTAGCCTTTCTGCATGTGTTCGTCGTGTGCATCCAGTTGTCAAACCACATTGAGTTTGATGAGGTCACATGAGGTCCGACATATGCACTGTTTGCTGTTTTACGCTTGTCATGCCAATATCTGTGTGCCATGTTCAGTTGTGTGTGAGCGAGTGTGTCCTCAGCGTCAGCGGTTTAGCCCACAGTCGTCCCCTGTCCTCTGGTCATGTGCTGAGGACACATGTACGTGCGCAGGCTTAACTATGCATCATATCAGTGTTTGTCCTCGGGGATAAGGTTGCCTGGCCGGATCTGTGCCGCTGAGGAGCGATAATCACATCCTGTTTAATAATGAGTTTGCTCATAATCTTCATTCCATTCTCAAATATTGAACAGGCGGGCTGGTTTGCTGATGAAATCTGAGCGTTTAGGCCTGATCACAGATCATGTTCGTGATGTCTTGTGACTGGATTTCTCTGTGAACAACTGAAGTTGAATCAACACTCTGTAAATACATTTTTTATTGCTTAGTTGGGGTTTAAATTAGAGCCAGACCGATATATCGGTCGGCCGATATTAGGCATTTTCCATAATATCGGTATCGGCAGTTATAATGGCCGATAAATGAATATTTCAAAAATAAAATAAAAACGGACGAAACTCGCTTTAATCATCTCTCCTTGGCCTGTTATATTGAAAATGTATGTTTTACAACTTGCAGTATGATGTCATCTATTGCTAAATTATGGCTCATCATAGACTAGCTAATGCCACTATCATCAGTGGAAGACCGCTAATGAGCTTGGAAACCACAATGAACTTTTTCTGCCTAAATAAAGTAATTATTACTGTATTTATAACTAGCATATCTCTAGTTACAGTCCCTGCATTGTAAAATGTAAGTTATACTTGCGAGACGTGAACATTTAGACATAGAGAAAAAGTATCAAACGTATCTTGTGCAGTAAAGTTAGCTTTTCTTTTACACGTGTGTGAAATCCAACAATATTTAATAAAAAAAAAAACATATCGGCCGATATATCGGATTTTAAAACTCAAAAATATTGTATCGTATCGGCCGTCAAAATCCTGTAATATCATCGGTTTGGATCAGGACAAAACCTGAACTAAAAACCTGAACCTGAAATCTATTCATCATATAAATTGAGTGTATCTCTTCACGGTTAAAACATTTTGTTTTATGACCTGTTTGGACCTTCTTAAGTTTGATTACCTGGACATAATCCTCTTTAAATGACTGTTTCGAAGATTAACCAAGTTTGGAATAACATGAGGATGATTAAATGATGACAAAGTTTTCATTTTTGGGTGAACTCTCCCTTTAATCTCTTCTAGAGAGCTCGCTGCCGGTGCTGTTTTCCCTTCACAGGAAGTCTGTTACATCTGCTTCCTGTTTCCCTGCTTTCACTGTAGTGGATGCTTAATGTGCAGTGATCATTTGAACCAATGGGCAGGGCCTCAGAAACTAAATATTGTTGTCACGTTCACAGTTGGAGATAAGAACTCAAATTTACATGGAAGAGCTTTTATTGCTTGCCATTATGCCCTTGTGTGTGTGGTTAGCTCTTGTTAAGACACGTCTGTTTGAGCATGTCAACATTCGTCCCATCTGTGACTTGCACTGTATTTGTCGATCAAATTACTAGTGAAATGACAGCAGCGCTGTCCCAGCATGATGTTACTCCTCCCAGCAAACTTAGGAATTTTGTTGTTGTTTTAGTTAGTGGCTGCCAACTATTTCTGACCCAGGAACTAATGGTATTTTAGTGCTATCTATATAGTAATATTTTGAATGAGCTTTTTAACTTTTTCTTTTCTTTTTTTAGTTTTAACAATTGTGTTGATTTTTAATATATATTCGTATTTAGCTTTAATTTATTTTTATTTCAGTTTTAGTGGTAACACTTTATATTGTATTTAACTAAGTGCACTAATTAGGCACAATGTACTTATTGTGTTGTGTTATTGTATTGAAAAACACTGCTATTGAGGTGTAATATGGGTAAGGATAGGGACGGGTTTGATGGTATGCTTAGGTTTAAAGGTGGGTTAAAGTTTAATATAAAAATATGTATGTACACAATAAATTAATTGTATCAAATGATTAATTGAAATGTTATTGCATAATAGTTTAAGACACTTCATATAAATATTAGGGCTGTCAAACGATTAATCACGATTAATCACATTCAAAATAAAAGTCTGTGTTTACATAATATATGTGGGTGCTCTGTGTATAATTAATATATTTATATATAGGAAGAGTTCAGATGCAAAAGCCTCTAAATGCCAATTGAAATTTGAAATTTTCTTCTAAAATGACCATTTTTATCAAGCTTGTATATTTAAGTTCAGTAATTTCACTTAAATGACAAATAATAGGTAATCTTCATTGCCATTTAAGTGAAATTATATTCATGAAATATTCATGAAAATGTTTCTTAAATATATACAAGCATATGTGTGTGTATATATATATATATATATATATATATATAATTATACACAGTGCACCCACATATATTATGTAAACACAAACTTTTATTTTGGATGCGATTAATTGTTTGACGGCCCCAATAAACACAATTTTGGTACTTTAACTTATCTATTTCAGTTAGTTGTCAGTGAAACATTTAAAATGTTTAAGTTTAATGTGTTTTAACATTTTTAAATGTAATGCAATATGGATATATATTTTAATTATCAAAAATCTTGGTAACACTTTACAGTATTAACTAACACAAATTAACAATTTTTAATTTTACAAACTAACAATTACATACTCAGATCATTATTTAACGTCATTTATGTAGTTAGAAATGCTATGAAATGCATATGCTATTTATAATCTAAATATTTTGTATATATATATTGGATCTTGATGACCCCTAATGGTCTGTTGACGCCTGGTTTTACTGTATTCTGATTGGTTATTTGGACTTTGTCTTACAGAGGGGCTTTCTCTGAGGTGGTGCTCGCAGAGGAGAAGAGAACGAGAAAACTAGTGGCGATTAAGTGCATCGCGAAAAAAGCTCTGGAGGGGAAAGAAAACAGCATTGAAAATGAGATCGCTGTGCTCCACAAGTGAGTCATTGAAACAGATGTTTTAGTTCACTTACAGATGTATATGACACACACACACATTAAATATCACACCCTAGCTGTATGAACACTGTTGTAAAGTCCATGTTCAACTAATATGTAACAGACATGTTATCTCAGGGAGAGCGGACTGCAAGTGTGTGTGTGTGTGTGTGTGTGTTAAAAATCTCATGTTTAAACCGCTGGAATCATAAAGCTCTGTGGGAATGACTGAAGCCGGAGCAGCCGACGCTATTTTTAGTGGCTGGGTTGCCTGGGTTACCACAGCCAAAGAGGCACAGCGTTCACAGAGATATTTGAGGCAACGTGTGAATGAGGAAGACACATTTCTCAACAATGCTGCTGGCACCAGTGAAAGATTTAAACTACGAATTACCGTGCTTTCCACCCTCATATCCCCCTGAGACGAGAGATTTATGTATTTTTTGTTTGGAAAAAAATCCTCCGATGACACAAAAATCGTCAATCGAGGCTTGTCCAGAGGCTAAAGACTACAGTCAGTATTCGGGTCTGTCCCGCATGTCCTCAACCCGCCCATAGAGGGCGATCTCACTCACAGAATGAACACATAGTGTCGGCCATCTTTGTTTGGAAGCTAAGCTAGCAGGCTCTTGTTCACTGGAGAAAGCGAGACTTCCTTAGATTTCCACGACGCATGCGCGAGAACTGAACTGAAGTAGTGTGAGGAGATCGCAATTCTCGCGCATGCGTCGTGGAAATCTAAGGAAGTCTCGTTTCTGGCCTACAAGGAAGAAAAGGAATAGTCGAATAAACTCGTTATTTTTGTTTGTTTTTTGGCACAAAAAGTATTCGCGTCGCTTGATAAACACATAGTTGAGCCACGGTAGTCACTTGGGATATTTAAACATTTTCTTCATTGACTTTCTGGGCCGTCAAGAGGCAGTCCCTTAGGCAGCCAATGTGGTAGTTATACAGCTCTCAAATTTAATCAAAAATATCTTCATTTGTGTTCCGGAGACGAACGAAGGTCTTACGGGGTTGGTACAGCATGGGGGTGAGTAATTAATGACTTAATTTTAATTTTTGGGTGAACTAACCCTTTAAGCAGTGTTGGGGAGTAGTTAACTACAAGTAGCGACGCTACTAACTTAACTACATTTTTCAGTAGCTTGGCAGTAGCTCAGTTGCTTTTCAAACAGTGTAGCTTTTACAGTAGCGAACTACTTTTTGCAGCAAGTAGCGGTGTAGCGCGAGCAAAAGCTACATCGCGTTTGTCGAGCCTGCGCGAATCAGTGCGATGCAAGGATATTCTTCTTCTTGTTAGATTACAAACTCATTTTTTGCCATTACTGCCACCTGTTGTTTAATCACGCATCTTGCGGCTAACGGTTCACTGACGTACAGAAGTGGGTTGACACACCCATATTATGATTATAGCGAGACGTGACGGCAGATTTGGAGGATGGAGAAACAACTAACATTGATTACCCATGGCCTTATTTGTCCAAGATCAATCGGTATTTTTGAGAAAAATGTTCTACATGCAATTTATGTTGGATGTATATTTTGTTCTTGCAATGTTGTAGGCTATTTTTGCAATTTTGCACTTTAGACAAACAGTCTGAGATATTTGAGTGTTGTGTATAATAACACATAATCGTTTTAAACACTAAATGTTTTACTTAAAACATTCCTCAGACACTTATTCCGTTATTTATAATATACGTTGTTCAAAAAGCAAGAGTAGTTTCAATGTAGCTAGCTACTTTTTGATAGTAACTTGTAGTGTAGCTAACTACTTTTCCAAAAGGGTAGCTTGATTGTAGTTTAACTACTTTAATTTACAAGTAGCTTGTAGCTTGTCAAACTACAGTTTCAGAGTAGCTTCCCCAACACTGCCTTTAAGGCATAGTGGGCGTAAGCGGCGTTTACGTGCGTTTAGCGTCCACTACATCCCTGACTATAAACTGAACTAGTTCATTTTAAAATTTGTGAACTGAACTTCATAGTTCATATAGAAAGTCCTAACCTTCCCAACACTGGTCATTTATAATAGCAATAGTATTCATTAACAATAATCCTCTTGATGTGGAGTCGTGCCTGCCCACAGTTGTGTGGGTCGGAGTGGTGAAGGAGGCAAAGACGAGGCCACCAGAACGGAGGGAAGGGGAGTGGGTGAGCGTACATGTTGCTGAAGGGAGAGAAAGAATGAGAATGAGTGGAAGAGATCCTCAGTGACTCATTCAGGTGCCTCTGTCGTGTCGGATTGCCAGTGGGAAGGTGTGTGGGATTCCACCGTTCGGCTCAATTAGAGCCCCCGCATGTCACACACACACACTCACGCAGTCCTTCTGTAAGTCAATGAAAATCCCCTGGACTGTTGGCTGTTGTGGGGGCAGTGAACACTGAGGGTCAGGGGTCACGGAGGAAGATGCGTGACAGTAGTTGATACATCAACTCTTCTTTGTTATGCACTAGACTAACACAAAATCCTCCCCCTCATAGACCTTAGTCAGAATAGACGGCATATTTAATTTGAATGAACTCAAGGCTGTGTGGGAGGGAAGTACAGTCTGTTCAATATGTCACAAGCTGCGTTCTGATTCTCCAGTGTTCACTGAGAGTTTACTTCATATTATGCCATTCGTTTATTTGGACTTCCCCGAATCGGCATTAAACAAAGATGAAACTTGTGTCAGACAGATTTGGGATTGAGTACGATGATGATGACGTCTTGTACCTATGGAACCACGTAAAATGCGTAAAATAAACATTTTCATATATGGATACATATAATACACATCAACACCCCCATCCCTTCAAATATGGGTGGATTTCAGCAGTGGCGTAGCCTGACTAACGTAGCCTGGGAACGACATGTTCATATTTGAGGCGTGGTTTACGAATACCCAGAGCCGTTTATTGGGTGCTACGAATGTCTAGCCTGGTTAAAACATGACCATTCTCGGTTGTAACTAGGGTTGGGTATCGAGAATCGAGTATCGATTGGAATCGGGACTAACTTTTCGTTTTTCCCGGAATCGTTCAAAAGTAAAAATTTCGATTCCTAGTTTCGATATTCACAGTCCGCCGAGCGGAAGAAGAAACCGCTGGACAACACCAACGAAGAAGCGTCTACCGGAAGTGTTGGCATAACCGCGCGAGTCGAACATGAGTAGCTTACGTCGGAGATCCAAAGTGTGGCTTCACTTTTCTAAAAATAACGAAATCTCGGCAAAATGCAAAATTTGTGACAAAAGGAGTATTTTTACTGAAGGAGTATTTCTTTCAGAATGGATTTTTTCCTTCAGAAAGGCCGTTGGTTAGCAAGGTTAGCTAAACTTTTTTGACCCTGCCTCTTAAAAGAATCGGAAGCGAGAATCGTCAGGAACCGGAATCGAAACAAGGAATCGGAATCAGAATCGTTCAAATTCAAACGATACCCAAGCCTAGTTATAACTGAGTTCATTTTGTTTCCAGAGGGGCGTCGCCAACAGACGTCGAGGATAGACCTAAAACCAATCAGAGCGATGAAGGAGATGACGTATGCAGAGCGGATGAGAAACATCTCCGAGTGTTGTTATTTGCTCGGTTTTTAACAAAAAGGAAACGTTCAAATCGCTTAAAACAGACGCGATAGCTGATTCCAACGAGTGATGTTCGACGGCGGCATCCATCTTTGTAATTTAGGCTACTATTCATCGTGCAAGTCATCGTGTAAAGCCCGCCCCACGTTTCTGATTGGTACCTCGATTTCGACGGATTGGAAATGGGCTTGAATGAGCTGTTTGCTAGAGTAACTTTCAGAGCAAATCTACATTTGCCGGAAGTTGTCTGGGTTTTCCCAGGGTACCTGTACGTAGCTCATAGCCAATCGTTTCAATTATACTAGATGACATAATGTAGAGTGAAAAATTAGAAATTACAATTTTTTTCAATAACCACGCATAAACAAAAATACAAACATGTACATACATGTTGCTCACATATTATGGTAGCCCTGTTTGTGCTAAATAGAGTGTAATTTCACCTGTGCCATTAATATGTTTATAAGCGCAAATGTCAGGGCATGTCAGAACATCTCAAGGACCCCAAATACACCTTGGACCCCAAAGGGTTAATGAAAAAAAAATTGTCATTTCTGATTCAATTTCTGTAATTCCCAAATGAGTAGTTTAGTACCTATTTCCTTAATCATAATAATAAGTTTAGTTTTTTTTGTATTATTTTTCGCTCAAAAATAAAAGTTTGTGATATTGTGATTAGTCTTGTAGCTTTGGTGGATTGTAAATCTTTTTGAATAATGTTTTGAAATTCCTGGAATAAAAAAAAAAAAAAAATTCCTCTAATAAAAATGCTGGGTTGTTTTAACCCAACTTTGGGTCAAATATGGACGAACCCAGCCATTGGGTTACATTTTTAAATGACATTTTTAACCCAATGTTTGAGTTTTTCAAAATTGGGTTAAAACAACCCAGCATTTTTTTTTTAGAATGTAGAACCGCTGAAAGCAGCTGATCTAAAAAGTGCTGGGTTATTTCAACCCAAATTTGGGTCAAATATGGACAAACCCAAATGTTGGGTTTAAAAATGTAATTAAAAAAATGTACAGTTAAAGTTAAAGTTTTAAATGACATTTTTAACCCAACATTTGGATTTGTCCATATTTTACCCAATTCTGGGTCAAAACAACCCAGCGTCGTTTAGAGTGAAATTAAAGATGAACCCCTTTCCTCCATGCGTTTGTGAGATGTGCCTGTTGCCTTCTCGCTACGAGTGTCTCGCTGTGCCAGCTGCTCTGCAAATGTCACATTATGTTGTTGTTAGTAACATGTCCTACAGTATGTTTGTAATAGGCATGAGACACTTGATGAAGCTCTCTCCCTCCCCCTCTGTCTGGTTTTCCTCTCACTCTCTTTTTCAGGATTCAATGCACTCAGACCTGGTTTCATATTTACATTGCATCTCAGGCTATAGACAACTAGTAACCTGATTCCAGGTCCCCTTGGTAAATATTTATGACGCATCTCTGGATCAGTTTAACGGTATAGAACATTGTGGCAGAGATTGGTCTGGACCAGGAGAGATCAGCTTTCATGGAGATCGACTGCGAAGCATGCGTTTGACACTTTCGGCTCAACCCAAACAGATTTGCATATAATGCTCTTGGTTTCGAGCCTTGAAGAAATATTTCACGTCGACAGCACAAAAAATGCTCCATGACTTTAGTGTGATGAAGTCACTTAACTAACCTTTCCTGTGTAAAGTTATATATGATGGTGCCTAGATGTTTTGCCTTATCTCTGGATTGACGTGTTTTTCCCCCCATCTTTCTCTTGCTCTCAGGATTAAACATGCCAACATAGTTTCCCTGGAGGACATCTACGAGTGTAAATCGCACCTCTACCTTGTCATGCAACTGTGAGTGATTGATCTTTTATTTGAACTTTTGCTGTTGTCCCATATTTCCAGCTTCCCACAGAGTACATGAGCCGACCTGCGAACAATTCAGCCATTATCTAGTGCAGCTGCCATGTGCTGGATGCCGTTTTTAGCTCCTTATCTCAAACTCACTCATTTCCGTGACTTAAAGGCTCTCTAAGTTGAGCTTGTATGGTGGATGAATCTAAATGCAGGCCAAAAGCTGTATTTTAAAGCATTTGTAAAAACGTAAAAGTATAGAACAGACATTATTACATTTATTCTTATTGCTGCCATACATAAATGTAGACATTTAGACCCAGAATATTCTCTACATGAGTACATGAACACATTTTTGTATTATACATGTGTTCTAATTGTATTTTAGGATATGTCTCCTCTTTAACACAGTGTAAGTAAATGTTACATTCTCAGCCAAAGGAGACACTGTAACGGCATTAGCGGAAACTGCTATGATTGCAATGCACTGTTTTAGCTTTGACATCATCACATTTGTGTGCTTGCGTACTTGATTCAATTGTTCGATTTTCTGCGTTATTTGCATCTGTAGCAATTTTTCTCCATATAATGGACTTCAATGGGAACCAAACGGTTCAAGGTCCAAATGAGAGTTTCAGTGCAAACTGTTCAAAGGGCTTTAAACAATTCCAGACGATGAATAAGGGTGTTATCAAGTGAAACGGTCGCTCATTTAATAAATAAATAACAAAATTTAAGTTTTATAAGCACAAATGCTCGCCTTGCTCTGCTCTGTGATGCACGTTTGTGACTCTCCTGTTCGCACTCGTTCATCAAAATGAACAAATCTTTTTCCGAGTCATTTGGTTCATTCATCGAACGAAACGAACGAATTGACTCTGAAAAAGATTTGTATGTTTTGATGAACGAGTTCGAACAGGAGAGTCACGAACGCACATCACAGAACAGAGCAAGGCGAGCATTTGTGCTTATAAAACTTAAATTTTGTTATTTATTTATTAAATGAGCGACCGTTTCACTTGATAACACCCTTATTCATCGTCTGGAATTGTTTAAAGCCCTTTGAACACTGTTTTCAGTTTGCACTGAAACTCTCATTTGGACCTTGAACCGTTTGGTTCCCATTGAAGTCCATTATATGGAGAAAATCCTGGAATGTTTTCATCTAAAACCTTAATTTCTTTTCGACTGAAGAAAGAAAGACATGGACATCTTGGATGACATGGGGGTGAGTAAATTATCAGCAAAAGTTTTTTTAAAAGTGAACTACTCCTTTAAGTTAGTGATTGCTATCAGTATGTAAAGACACTTTCAGCCAGCAAAACCACATTCCACAAAGATAGAGCAGGTTTAGGACATCTTCAAAGTTGCGTTTCAAGAGCGAGCCACAGTAATAGTGCAAAAAGTGTGCTGTCATTTCCTCTGAACTCAAGATCTACTGATAGACCACACTTAGACTTATCATACATGGAGATATACCTACACTGGTCAGTTTAAAGGTGAGGTGTGCAATTCCCCCTCTTGCCTCATTAAATGGAATCACAAAAGTAATGATTGTTAAACTATTTCTACTGAAAACTCCCTCGATCTGCCATTGGTTGATTAAACAATTAGCCACATTCTGTTGGTTGAGCCAGAGTTGCTGTCTGGTTGGGGTGCATTTTTTCTGTACAACGCCGTAACTTACAGCTTAAAGGAGTAGTTCACTTTTAAAAAAAACTTTTGCTGATAATTTACTCACCCCCATGTCATCCAAGATGTCCATGTCTTTGTTTGTCGGTCGAAAAGAAATTAAGGTTTTTAATAAAAACATTCCAGGATTTTTCTCCATATAATGGACTTCAATGGGGTCCAAACGGTTCAAAGTCCAAATGAGAGTTTCAGTGCAGCTTCAAAGGACTTTAAACGATTCCAGACGATGAATAAGGGTCTTATCAAGCGAAACCATCGCTCATTTACATTTTTTTTTTTAAAAATACGTTTTATAAGCACAAATGCTCGCCTTGCTCTGTTCTGTGATCCGCGTTTGTGACTCTCCTGTTCGAACTCGTTCATCAAAATGAACAAATCTGACTGACAGACAAGAACAGTTTGACCTAAAAATATCAAAATTGAAAAATATCACCTACATCTTGGATGCCCTTGAGGTAAGATAAAACGGTAACACTTTACAATAAGGTTCATTAGTTAACATTAGTTAACTACATTAGTTACACTCTAAAAAATGCTGGGTTGTTTTAACCCAATTTTGGGTCAAATATGGACAAACCCTAAATGTTGGGTTAAAAATGTAATGTAAAAAATTAACCCAACGGCTGGGTTATTCCATATTTGACCCAAAGTTGGGTTAAAACAACCCAGCATTTTTTAGAGTGTAACATTGAACAATACTTCTTCAGCATTTATTAATCTTAGTTAATATTAATTCCAACATTTACTAATACGTTATTAAAATCAAAGGTTGTATTACTTAACATTAGTTAATGGACTGTGAACTAACATGAACGCACAATGAACAGCTGTATTTGTATTAACTACACTCTAAAAAATGCTGGGTTGTTTTAACCCAATTTTGGGTCAAATATGGACAAACCCAAAATGTTGGGTTAAAAATGTAATGTAAAAATTTAACCCAACGGCTGGGTTAGTCCATATTTGACCCAAAGTTGGGTTAAAACAACCCAGCATTTTTTAGAGTGTAACATTAACAAAGATTAATAAACACTGTAACTAATGCATTGCTCATCGTTAGTTCATGCATTTGCTAATGTTAACTAATGAACCTTATTGTAAAGTGTTACCGCTAAAACATACCAAAAATTAATTTCAAAGTGAACTATCCCTTTAACGTTGAAATAATGACACACTTCATCTACGAACCCACAGGAGACACACGACACAATACTAGAATCTATCGTGTGTCTTTAACAGGCCCCGTAGAGATACAGAGGAGCAAGTAATGGATGACCTCTGTGTGTCCCCCCTCGGCTCTCTCTCTCTCGCCCCCTCATACCGTCAACCTGTTTTAATTACTCATGTGCCAGAGCGCTTCGCTATTGTCTTGTCCACTGAGAAATCAAGGAAAAGGCTAAACAACCACACGCACAAGCTGAACGGAGCGGGGAAATATGCTCACACCTGCGCCTTCACTCCTACCGTCCCAAATGTCAGTAGAGAGAGAGAGAGTTAGATGTGTATATAGAGAGGACAGACAGATTATATCACGGGTGACAAAAGATGGAGAGAGAAACACAGCAAAGGGTCGCTCTCCACTACAGCTGTGTTAACAGAGAGATCAAGACTGACAGAGAAGGATGCGAGAGATGTTCATTGTGGGATTTTCCGGGTGATGGCAGCTCTGCATGCAGACAGCAGGACTCCAAGCTTGCCAAGGCTTTCAACTCCGTGAGATATTAACTGTGTGTGTGTGATAGCACCCACAGTCTTGATGCTTCAAATACCACAGACTATGAAATCCCACCCTCAGCATTGCCTTCATCCCACACACACGAACAGACAACACACTCGCTCTGAATAGTGTCACTGTAACCACAATGCTTGTGCTGAGAAGTTAGGAGTCCAATACACAAGTGGGTGAATCTCACCCCAAAATCTAAAGAAATTATACAATTATTTCAGGACTAGTGAAATCGATTGCATTGTGAAATTATTTTCATGACAATTAAACACAATTCAACCCCAATTTTCATCACCATAATGTGAAAAACTTCAGATTTTAATTACTATACAAACAAAACATTCTCATTACTATATATATTAGGCTAAATTATATTAATTACTATAAATACTAACATAAAGTGTACCAAAAATACCAAAAGTATACATGGAGGTGCCGGTGAGATTGCGTTCTCATAAATGAACCGAAACTCAGCGTTTAAAGGAGTAGTTCACTTTTGAATAAAACATTTGCTGATAATTTACTCGCCCCCGTGTCATCCAAGATGTCCACGTCTTTCTTTCTTCAGTCGAAATGAAATTAAGGTTTTTGATGAAAACATTCCAGGATTTTTCTCCATATAATGGACTTCAATGGGGTCCAAACGGTTCAAGGTCCAAATGAGAGTTTCAAAGGACTTTAAACGATTCCAGATGATGAATAAGGGTCTTATCAAGCGAATCGATCGCTCAATTAATAAATAAGTAACAAAGTTTAAGTTTTATAAGCACAAATGCTCGCCTTGCTCTGTTCTGTGACGCGCGTTTGTGACTCTCCTTTTTGAACTCGTTCATCAAAATGAACGAATCTTTGTTCATGTCATTTGTTTCATTCAACGAGATGACTCGGGAAAAGATTCGTTCATTTTGATGAACGAGTTCGAACAGGAGAGTCACGAACGCGCATCACAGAACAGAGCAAGGCGAGCATTTGAGCTTATAAAACTTAAACTTTGTTATTTATTTATTAAATGAGCGATCGTTTCGCTTGATAAGACCCTTATCCATCGTCTGGTGTCGTTTAAAGCCCTTTGAACCGTTTGGACCCCATTGAAGTCCATTATATGGAGAAAAATCCTGGAATATTTTCATCAAAAACCTTAATTTCTTTTCAACTGAAGAAAGAAAGACATGGACATCTTGGATGACACGGGGGTGAGTAAATTATCAGCTAAAGTTTTTTTAAAAAGTGAACTACTCCTTTAATGTATCCAGTTAAAAAACCCGGACACCCCCACACAAATGTGGCTTTTTTTAATGACTGTCCAACTACAGTTTTTACCACAGTGTAACCGCTCACTACCAGTCACAAAAGACACTGTAACAGTCTATCACGGGCTATTCTAGTTGCATTTTTCATCAATTCATTTCTTAAATTATACATTGAGTATGTTCTGGCCTGCGATCTAGTGTGAAACATATTTTACTTGCCGACCCCTGACCTAGATCATCCTTACAAATAGTACTACAGTGGCACCATTTTATAGTGATGGTATCACATACTGGATGACCACTAACTGGCATATTCAAATACTGTGCAGTTTACTTGCTCTTGCAAAGCATGTCCAAACTTATATGATATTACCATAATATATTTGTAGTGCGAGAGAATAATCATACATCTGTTAGTATAGGTAGTGTCTCCACTTCTGAGGAATGACATCGACCTCTTACTACATTACTTTTAATGAATTATCTTGTGAAGTTCACCACTATGAGATTGAGCGAGTTAATGTGTCAGAGAGAGAGAGACTGAATAGTCTTTCAACATAAACTGAGTAAAACAGCTTCCCCTGGTGGTGACGATGCGCTACAGCATCACCGTGTGGTTGTGCTGGGATCCTGCTGTGCGCCAGTCTGTCTCGGGGAAAAAAACAGAGACAAGTGAGCATGTGCGTTGGTGTGTGTGAAAGACGGCTTTGCAAGCATCTCTCTGTTTTTCCATTGGCAGAGTGTCCGGTGGCGAACTCTTCGACAGGATTGTGGAAAAAGGATTTTACACTGAGAAAGACGCCAGTAAGCTGATCCAGCAGATCCTGGACGCTGTGAAATACCTGCACGACATGGGCATCGTGCACAGAGACCTGAAGGTGAGGCGGCAGTCGGTCTACGACTCAGTGCCAGTTTCAAAAAGTTCCCATCCAGCTTCATCACTTCATTCAGGAGTCCTTGATAGTGCTCTTGATATTAATAGTTGGGTCTTTGCCCCCAGAGAACAGGAAAGTAGTTCTAGGTAAATGGATCAATCAATGTCTCGGGTCCCATTTTTCAAGTTCAAAAGGAAGGATCTGTAAAGGGACACTCCACTTTTTTGGAAATAGGCTCATTTTACCACTCCCCCAGAGTTAAACAGTCGAGTTGTACCGTTTTCAAATCCATTCAGCTGATTTTCTGATTTTTTTAGATGAATGTCAGTCACCAGACAGTTTCTGGTCTCACTGATATCCATAGTATATTTTTTTCCCTACAATGAGACCAGAAACTGTCTGGTTACTGATATTCTTCTAAATATCAGAAAATCGTCTGAATGGATTCGAAAACGGTAAAACTCAACTGTTTAACTCTGGGGGAGTGGTAAAATGAGCCTATTTCCAAAAAAAAATGTGGAGTATCCCTTTAAGAAATGTCATTTAGGTCAGTGCTGTGGCCTAGTGCTTTGCTCATTCACATTGAATCCTGGATCTCATGTGGGAGATGCGAGTTTAAGTCCAGCTAGTGTAACCCCCAAATAATGTATTTATTATGAGTGACTCAAGCCATATCTTGGGAATTTGGCAAGTAGATATCCATCAAAATCACCCTGAACCCCATAGCATCCTCATAGCAACCACCTGAACACCCTAGCAACCATGAAGAAATATATATTTTTATATATATATATATATATATATATATATATATATATATAAAATTACAACTACTGTTAAGTTTGGAGTCAGTAATATATATATATATATATATATATATATATATATATATATGTTTAATGTTTCGGAAAGAAGTCTCTTATGCTCACCTAGGCTACATTTATTTGATCAGAAATACAATACAATAAACCTGTGAAATCTGTTTTTTTATTTTTATTGTAATACATTTTAAAATGTAAAGCTGAATTTTCAGCATCATTACTCCAGTCTTCAGTGTCACATGATCCTTCAGAAATCACTATAATATTCTGATTTGATGCTCAAGAAACATTTCTGTGACTTTTAGCCAATTGAATACATCCTTGTTGAATAAAAGCATTAAAAACACTTTTTTAATGAGTTTTGCTCATATACATTGTCCACAAGAAGCAAATTTAATATTTTAAAGGTGTTCATCAACCCTTAAAATTTTGCAACATATAGTTATTATCATCCAATTGTTCTAACCAGCTACTTTCCTTCATGGTTCCTGTTATGGCAAGCCGTTTTAACTTTTATTCATTTCCAGGATATGAATTCTTGATATCAACAATTGTATTTTCACTAGTGAAATGTCACCATAGGCTGCCCTTCAAAACCAATTTCTTACTATTTCACATATCAGAAATACAATTATTACTAGTAAAAACCTTTATTTTTGATATCAAGAATTCAATTGTTACTAGTTGAAATGTCTATTCTTGATATACACAATTTAATTGCTACTAGTAACAATGATCATTTTTGATATCAATAATTCAATTTTTACTAGTGACATTGTTAATTTCTGATATCATGAATGTGATTGTTACTAGTAAGAAAGCCATTTAGATATCCGAAATATTGAAATCAGAAATGCATTTTCAGATATCAAAAATTATAATTTTTATTAGTACCAATTGAATTGTTGATATCAAGAATAGACATTTCAACAAGCGACAATTTAATTATTGATATCAGGAATTCGCATTTTTACCAGTAACAATGTAATTATTTAAATCAAATTGATATTTCTGCTCGTAAAAAAAAAAAACAATTGAAGAGTTCAGATGCAAAAGCCTCTAAATGCCATTTGAAATTTTCTTCTTTAATGATGATTTTTATCAAACTTGTATATTTAAGTTCAGTAATTTCACTTAAATAACAATTAATAGGTAATCTTCATTGCCATTTAAGTGAAATCACTGAACTTAAATATACAAGCTTGATAAAAAATGATCATTCTAGAAGAAAATTTTAAATGGCACTTAGAGGCTTTTGCATCTGAACTTTTCAATTCTTGATATCAACAATTTATTTTGACTGGCAATTTCACTAGTGAAAATACAATTACAGATATCAACAATTAAATTGTTGATATCAAGAATTCAATTGTTGATATCAACAATTCATACCCTGGAAATGAATAAAAGTTAAAGCGGCTTGCCATATCCTGTTGGACATACAGTTAACACCAGTTGTGTCAGTTGTTATGCAAAGTTTGTGTTTATAACCAGTGCAGTGAAGGATGTTCAATGTGATTCTTAATTTGAATACAAACAGTGTGTGTGTCTGATCCATATTACATTTTCTGTGTGTGTGTTTTCAGCCAGAGAACCTGCTGTACTACAGTATGGATGAAGACTCCAAGATCATGATCAGCGATTTTGGCCTGTCAAAGATCGAGGGTTCGGATAGTGTGATGAGCACAGCATGTGGCACTCCTGGATATGTAGGTAAGACACGCCTCCATATGCAAATATGCAGAAAGTATGGTGTATGTATCTGGATGAAGGATCTGAACACTTTGGGCCCTTTTTTAACGATCTGAAACGCAAGTATCAAGTAACTTTGTGGCGCTGTTGCTAAATGACTCTTGCACTCGACGCTAATCTAAAAGGGGTTGGTCTGAAGTAGCTTCATTATTCATAGGTGTAGCTTGGGCGTAACGGGAAACAAACCAATCAGAGCGTCATATCACATCCCCTTTAAGGCCCCGTCCACTTTCGTTTAAAAAACGGAGAATTAAAACGGAAACGATCTCCGTCCACACCAGTGTTTTATCTGCGTGTCAGAATTGATCTCCGTCCCACATTAAAGGAGTAGTTCACTTTTCAAAAAACTTTTGCTGATAATTTACTCACCCCCATGTCATCCAAGATGTCCATGTCTTTCTTTCTTCAGTCGAAAAGAAATTAAGGTTTTTGATGAAAACATTCTCCATATAATGGACTTCAATGGGGTCCAAACGGTTCAAGGTCCAAAAGAAACTTTCGGTACAAACTGCAAACTTGTTCAAAGGGCTTTAAACGATTCCAGACGATAAATAAGGGTCTTATCAAGCGAAACGATCGCTATTTTTTTTTTTTAAATAACAAAGTTTGAGTTTTTTAAGATCAAACGCTCGCCTTGCTCTGTTCTGTAACGCACTCCTGTTCGAACTCGTTCAATCTTTTTCCGAATCAATTTGTTAGTTTCTTTCGCCGAATGAACCAAATGACTCGGAAAAAGATTTGTTCATTTTGATGAACAGGAGTGCATCACAGAACAGAGCAAGGCGAGCGTTTGAGCTTATAAAACGTAAACTTTGTTATTTATTTATAAAACGAGCGATCATTTCGCTTGATAAGACCCTTATTCATCGTCTGGAATCGTTTAAAGCCCTTTGAACAAGTTTGCAGTTTGCACTGAAACTCTCTTTTGGACCTTGAACCGTTTGGACCCCATTGAAGTCCATTATATGGAGAAAAATCCTGGAATGTTTTCATCAAAAACCTTATTTCTTTTCGACTGAAGAAAGAAAGACATGGACATCTTGGATGACACGGGGGTGAGTAAATTATCAGCAAAAGTTTTTTCAAACTTTTCAAACTCATGACTGATAACACCCAATCATGAGCCTCTGCGTCATCGTTCCAGGTGTCTATGGTCTAACATCAATATGATTTTATAACATGTAAGCAGTGTTGTAGTCGAGACCACCTCACTCGAGTCCAAGTCGACACCGAGGCCAGAGACGGTTGATTACCTAATTTACTTTTATTTACTTAGAGAAATCCGTTTTTTTTTTTTTTTTTTACTGAATTTACTTAGAGTTTAAAAAATATGATCAGTTTAGGGTAAAAAGGCCACATAGTAGGTGGTGTTAAAAGTAATTTTATTACAATTTGTCATGCGCAGTTGCGCACTAGAAAATCACCAATCACTGGGCGTGTCAATCAATTTAAAGAAATATTTTATTAACATACATTAATAATCATGAAAAATATTTTTAATTGAACTCCTAAAAAAAAAAAAAATGTTCGAGTACGAGTCAATTCCGAGTCCAAATGGACACGAGTCCATGACAAGACCAAGACCATTAAAATATGGTCTCGAGACGAGTCCGAGTCTCGAGTACTACAACACTGCATGTAAGAACATCTGCTATACCTGCACACGCTCTCTAGGAAGTTTTCAAAGCTTTAGAAATAACTGGTTGAAACTGGTTCCATGGGCTCTCAATTTCTAAAGAATATCCTGTGTGTGTCGGGGAGATTAGATGTGGTTATTTATACAGAAAAGGTGAGAAGTGAAACTTGGGTGTAAATATCTTTGCCAGCTATACATGGATGACGGCAATTAACAACAATCTAAAAATGTGTCTGCAACCACAACCAGTATTCTCAAGTTTAGCGACTTATTTGTCACGAATAGTCAGTTGTAAAGCCTCCTGATACGTGTGTGAATTGATGTTTGATCGTATTCACCCTGATCTTCAGCTCCTGAGGTTCTGGCACAGAAGCCGTACAGTAAAGCGGTGGACTGCTGGTCAATCGGGGTCATCGCTTACATCCTGTGAGTGCCACTATACTGCCGCTCCAGTGTTGTACCTGAACTGGTTTTGACTGGGCTCACCATCTGTCCGTCTCTTTTCAGTTTATGTGGCTATCCGCCATTTTACGATGAGAATGATGCCAAGCTCTTCGAGCAGATCCTGAAGGCGGAGTACGAGTTTGATTCGCCATACTGGGATGATATCTCTGACTCGGGTACTTTGTTAATGTTCTTTAATGGCTGTCAAATATATTTGGAGAGTCTTTCTTTCTTTGTTTCTCAATGACATTATGGAAACGGTTATGTCATGTTCTTAACTTTAACAATGTGCTCTTTTTCTCAGCCAAAGATTTTATTGTGCATTTAATGGAAAAAGATCCCAACCAGCGTTACACGTGTGAACAGGCTCTTCAGCACCCGTGGTATGAGAATCTACAGCAATTATACTGTAAATCTTTTACAGTCTCTCATATAGCAATTAAAAAAAATATCGCTTACATACAGATTTTTATTGCCATAACTATTACAGTTTCCACTATTGTGGTTTTACTGAATGAAAAGGCAATCAGACATCGTCATGAACCTTTCATACATCTGTCAACGGATCACAATGAGAACCTTTCCCCCGTCACAGATGATGTCGAGCTTGTCCATAAGCATCATTTATTCATACTTGTGTCATTCTAAAACCATATAACCTTCTTTTATGAAACAAAAAAGGAATATTTTGAGTGTTGTTTATGCTGTAGAACCATAAAGAACACGTCATGTTACACGTCATCAGAGTAGAGATGTTGCTAGTATTTCATTGAATAGTTTGAGGCTGTATATGAAGAGTTCAGATGCAAAAGCCTCTAAATGCCATTTGAAATTTTCTTCTAAAATGACCATTTTTATCAAGCTTGTATATTTAAGTTCAGTAATTTCACTTAAATGACAATTAATAGGTAGTCTTCATTGCCATTTAAGTGAAATTACTGAACTTAAATATACAAGCTTGATAAAAATGATCATTTTAGAAGAAAATTTCAAATGGCATTTAGAGGCTTTTGCATCTGAACTCTTCATATTAAAAAAAAATAACATTATATATAAAAATTATATATTGTAATTTGATGCCGTTATTCAATGAAAATCTGCTACAGCTTTAACATCTCATTAATATATTCTAATACGCATGAAAAGTTGCGGTGTCAGGACTGTGATCAATGATGTCGAACGCCATTGGTTTTCACTTATCATGTCATTATGACGTTTGCGTACACATTTGAGAGCTGTGTAAAAAAGATTTTGATTTTCAATAAATTGTGATTGAAATTTTGGCCCCCGCCCCTCATAGATATATGACGCATTTAATTTTTGAAATTTTCAACATATTTATAATTAATGAGTCTAACATAGTGTCATCTATTAAAATTATTTAAGCTTGATCAACTCAATTTAGCTAGACTTAGAAAAGAGGAACGTTATATTTAACAATGGTATAGTTTTAACACAAACGAATTAAGTAAAGTTCAGTTTTAAATATATTAGGTTGATTGAACACGATTGAATTAAGTTGTTATATGATACTATTGATATACATTATATATTTGATGTTTGACTTATTAAATATAACTACGTATTACTGCTAATTAGATATGTTTAAGTAAAGTGAACGAAATTGAATTGCGGGCCTGAATATTTTATTTTTTTTGTAGGCATTTTAGTTGACTATCTACTGTAACTTCATAAGAGTTCAAGTGTAGTGAGAAAGCAAACATTACAACTTTGGAACTAAAGTGGGAATGTAAAATAGCATAGCTTTGCGTTTTGGGTGAACCGTTGCATTAAAGGAGTAGTTCACTTTTGCTGATAGGTTTTCCAGGATTCCATATAATGGACTTCAATGGGGTCCAAACGGTTCAAGGTCCAAAAGACAGTTTCAGTGCAAACTGTTCAAAGGCTTTAAACGATTCCAGACGATGAATAAGGGTCTTATCAAGCGAAACGATCGCTCATTTAATAAATAAATAACAAAGTTTACGTTTTATAAGCTCAAATGCTCGCCTTCTGTGATGCGCGTTCGTGACTCTCCTGTTCAAACTCGTTCATCAAAATGAACGAATCTTTTTTTGAGTCATTTCATTCATTTTCAGTTTGTTGAATCAACCAAATGACTCAAAAAGTCATTCGTTCACTTTGATGAACGAGTTTCGAACAGGAGAGTCACGAACGTGCATCACAGAACAGAACAAGGCGAGCATTTGTGCTTATAAAACTTAAACTTTTTTATTTATTAATTAAATGAGCGATCATTTCGCTTGATAAGACCCTTATTCATCGTCTGGAATCGTTTAAAGCCCTTTGAACAGTTTGTAGTTTGTACTGAAACTCTCATTTGAACCTTGAACCGTTTGGACCCCATTGAAGTCCATTATATGGAGAAAAATCCTGGAATGTTTTCATCAAAAACCTTAATTTCTTTTCGACTGAAGAAAGAAAGTCATGGACATCTTGGATGACACGGGGGTGAGTAAATTATCAGCAAAAGTTTTTTTTTAAAAGTGAACTACTCCTTTAAGACAACAGATTTGCTACTCAAAAGGATACTTTGCCTCTATTGGCACACATCATTGGAAACTTAACAAAGGAAACTTGAACGTAAATGTGTTTTGTGCTTCAGGATTGCTGGAGACACAGCGTTGGATAAGAACATCCATGAATCTGTCAGTGCCCAAATCAAGAAGAACTTTGCCAAAAGCAAGTGGAAGGTAAATCAGTGCAGATGAGAGCGGAAGGACTTTTGTGTTTTATATACTGTACTGGTTTCCGATGTTTCTCTTGTTATCGTTCACAGCAAGCGTTTAATGCCACAGCTGTAGTTCGCCACATGCGCCGGCTGCAGCTGGGAACCAGTCAGGAGGGCCAGATGCAGTCCACCCTGCCCAGCCCGTGCCACGGACGCCTGCTGCTGCCCGAGGGGGACGAGGACGAGAGCGGTCAGCATCACATTTACATTTCCTGTCGTCAGTGTTGGGGAAGGTCACTTTCCACATGAACTTATGAAGCTTATGAACACATGAAGCTTAATTTTAAGAAATGGCTTTTACATAACCAACACTGTGAACATTAACACTGCTCCTCTATTATTATTATTATTATTATTACTAACCTTATTATAGACCTATTCTTTCATACTTAATTAAATTATTTTTAATTTCTTGGTTTAATTGTGTCTGTATATACATTGTCTTTTTGTATACTTCTAGTTTTATGACTGTTGTATTGCTGTAATTTTTAACTCTTTTTTTTTCTAGTTAAGAGCCTAATAACATCTGGCAAAGGGACTACCAATGAAAACTAGCCTTTGGGCTAATTTGGGTACATTTACATTTAAGAATGTTTATTAATGTACACGGTCCCTTTTCTAAATAAATAAATAAATAAAAAAATAAAAATAAAAAACTAGTTGAATTTAGAACTAAGTTCACGGTTCCGATAGTTCTTTTTTTTTCCATATGTTGCTGCGAGATATTTTTTTTTTTCTTGTGTTTTTGCAGACTCTTTCATTCATTCAGACACTATCATAAACTGCCAGTCATAATGAAGTAAACCACATATTTACACAGTCTGAACTTGGTACCCATTGATTTTTTTTTTTTTTTGCATTCTGTTTTAAACTATTTTTAATTAAGCATAATTAAACACTATTTTCCTTTCACATTAGAAATGTATGTAGGCTATGTGAATGTATGAGTGTGTGAGAGAGTAGAAATGTATGTATGTGTGTGGGATAGAGCCCGACCGATAAAAGATTTTGAAGGCCGATACCGATACAAATATTTTTGGGTTTTAAAATCCGATATATCGGCCGATATTTTCTTTATTTATTTATTTTTGGATAAACTGGAGATGATTAGTCACAAATTTTGTTATGCTTATTTGAGTTAAGGGAACTGATGGGGATGTTCTTTTAATTGTTATTCAAGCAATGTATGTATCATGACCAACTCAACGAGTGTTGCCGACAGGGACGATGTAGAGCGCCCTCTGGTGGACAAACTATACAACTCCAACACTCATGACATGGTTCAAGCGTGTTTCGTCCGTTTTTATTGTATTTTTGAAATATTCATTTATCAGCCATTATAACTGCCGATACCGATAGTTTGGAAAATGCCTAATATCGGCCGATAACATCGGTCTGCTGATATATCGGTCTGACTCTAGTGTGGTAATGTATGTGAAAGCAGAATGTGTGTGTGTGAGAACAAATGTATGTATATGAAAGGAGAATGTATGTGTGTGTGTGTGTGTGAGAGAGAGTAGAAGAATGCATTTTGGCTTGTACGGCCCCTCATACATATATATACTTTAAATACACACATATATAAACACAAATTTTTATTTTAGAATCGATTTATTGCGATTTGCACTAAAAAATACACGTCTCTTTTTTATTTTTCTAATGTATTAAAATATATCTCTCGTTAGAAGAATACAGTATCCAAAATCAAACCATTTTTTTATTTAAATTAGCATAAACGAAATAAAGTACACCACATACAACCATAATCTGTAAATATTTGACCATTTAAATAATATATAATTCATTTTTGTAGTAATGAGGATGATTTTTTATCTTTTTTAGGAGGAATTGGGATGAAAAATTTAAAATTGTTAGTTTTGTCAGTTACTTATGATGGCTAAGCTCTCTCTCTCTCTCTCTCTCTCTCCCAGCCCTGCGGAGGGAAAACAGCGTCTGCTCCGAGGGTGTCGGAGAAGGGAACGACATCCAGAACTGCACCTACCACGTCCATCCCACTAGTCGGGTCTGAGTGTCAATCATCCTGCAGTAACCAATGACTGACTGTCCTGTCTTTCCACTGGAGTCCGGCCACACCCCCAGTCTGGCCAGGAACACACAGAGCTCCAGCATCCACTTGGAGGCGCTGCAGTGTAACGAACCCAGGTGGGAATGTGGTCACTACTATTCCAATGGAGGGATTCTCCCGAAAGAAACGAGACGAGAAGATTGCCACAGGCGCTTCATGGGTAATGTATGCTTTTGTGGGAGCTGGATGGAGATCGGACAGTGTTTTAACTCACTTTTTTAAAGCAACACCGACTAGGCTACTTTCATTTTTCTTTTCCTAAACTAAAAGTATGCAGGCCTGTTTCTCTTTTCATTGAAAATGCACGCTCTTGGGACGTGGCCTAGAGTAACACACATCCATTTTAGATCCCGCAACCTTTTATTCGATGGAGGATTTTGGCGTTGGGTTATGCTAATTCAAATTCACACCTTAAATGTTTTATATTCCTTCTTTTCAACTAAGGTACAAACAGATTTTAGGTCGACACGTGTAAATGATTCATTTTCTGTTTTTACACACTACGTCTACTCAAGCGATCATGAGTTCATCGTCAGTATGTTTAAGAGCGTCTTCTGTGGTGCCTTCATGGATTCAGTATCAATGTTTTATTTGTTTAAACATGTTTTATTCATCTTTTAGTTGGGAATGTTGGAAGCTGTACACGTTTATTCACCCGCAAGGCATATATACTGAGCTATGCACTGTCGGTGGACGCTTATGTTTAATCCTGTAAATACGGCACAGCTTCTGTTTCATTTGTTTGTAAACCCCTTTCTATTACAACATTAACAGTACTCAGGGGAGGAAATATTTAGAGGTATATAGTAGAAATCAGAGAATTTTGATATATTAAATGGTTGTTTTACAAGAAAACGTGTCACTACGAGGCAAATTATATAACTATATTTGAAAATGTTGGAACCTGTATGAAAGTAACCTCCATTAAATGGCATGAATGTGTGACTTGACTCCAATTTTATTGTTTTGTTTGTTTCCATTCACTCCCATCCAGAAGTAAAAGAAAAAAAAAAAATAACATTAGATGGAAAAGCTGTTTCATAAAAGTCACATAATTGGATTCTCCAGATGTTTGACTGGTTTTGTATAATGCATTGGAAGAGTTTTTGTTTTTAGGGAATAGGACCATTTTCAAAAATGGATGAACACAATATATAGTGCTAAATTCTCAAACGATACCGAATGTTTTGGATTTATTGATATTATGAAAGTACATACAGATATCATGTGTGATTTGTTTCATAAACTCTTTGGTTGTTGGAAGGGTTAAAATATTCATTCTGGTGCTGAACATCTTTCAAGGCACTAATATAAGATAAAAAAAAACATTTGATATAAAACCCTTTTGAAAAATGAACAATTATAACAATCTGTATCTGCTTTCTGGATTTATTTTCGATGTGTGGTGAAGAAGGAGTTTTTAAAAAACGTGAAGTCAAAACACCCTGTCATGTGATGTGTTGCTTGCGCAGACTTCCTATATTGATCAGCCCTTTACAAGCTGTGGCGTTTTCAAAAATATATGTATGATTGTATTCTGCACAGATAATATTGCATAGTAACTGTGGTTGAGACCGTGGAAATGAGGATTTACCATAAATATAAATATATGTTGATATAGTCAGAAGCAAATGATTTAAGCATGTTGTGGTGATTTATGTACATACATAAAAAAGATTATTGTAAATACACAGATTAATATGCTATTGTTAAATGTAAAGTGCAAGAAATTGAAGTTTAAGATCGATGTAAACCTCAAAAAAAGACGGGGTCATGATTGTCATAAAACAACTATGTTCGCCGTGGAATACTGCACATTATGTTCAACGCCCCTATAATTTAATTTGAAGTTTTAATGATGAGTCAAAATTAGATTTGAAACGATAGCGTCATTGCACATATAGTAAGAGTATGGTGATGTCATTCTTGATAAAGAGTTGATAGATACCTCTCTGCTTCTGAATGCTTTCTGCAGACATTTCATGTCTTTTGGACAGTGTTTTCGACAGTATCTTGGGAATGAACGGTGTGAAAATGTACCAACTCAGGATAGCAACAATATTGGATTTACAATCAGCAAAAAGTGCCCCTAACACCCCTAAAATATATTTGCAAACCATAGTAATTATGCAATTTAATTTCAAGGGCTTGACTCTTTAAAACAAAAGTCATTTCTCTTTCTAAACATTTATAAACCAAGTTAATGTGTTTAAATTGAATAGTCTTTGAATTGAGCTGAACTAAAATATTAATGACAGTCTGTTGTCTAAATATGTATGACCATCAGAATATACATTCTGTGTTTAGCCTTTTTTGTAAAAGCTGTTTAAGACACTACTTGTATGGATGCAGTGCATCATAGATATTTACTGTATTTGTAATGGAGTACTGCTCGATATTGACGCCAATGATTTGTATTTTTCAAACATTTGTACCTGTAAAGTGGATTAAACTTTCCTTGTCTATGCACTGTTTCTGTGTGCTATCTAGCGTGTTGAATACATGAGAACGAGAAGGATAGAAGTGAATAATAGCGGGTTATGGTAATAGTCCTACTCAAGCATGTTTTTAAAGTGGGATTTTGGGGGTTTAGTATTTCCTGAACCACAGTGGAAATTCTCGGGAGATCTTGGCTTGTGCAGAACGCCAGACATGTTATATAAAAATCACTCAATACATGCAATTTCTATACTGTGTGTCCGTATGTGTTATTTGTACACCTAAGCTATTTAAAATGAATAAATGTCATATATATTTATTGTGTTTCTAATGTTACTCGGATGCTATTTTAAAGGCCCCCTGAAATAAAAGCTTTAGTATGTTACCCTTAAAGGAGTTCCCTTTTTAAAAAAAAAAAAAACTTTTGCTGATAATTTACTCACCCCCGTGTCATCCAAGATGTCCATGTCTTTCTTTCTTCAGTCGAAAAGAAATTAAGGTTTTTGATGAAAACATTCCAGGATTTTCTGCATATAATGGACTTCAATGGGGTCCAAACGGTTCAAGGTCCAAAAGACAGTTTCAGTGCAAACTGCGAAGTGTTCAAAAGGCTTTAAACGATTCCAGACGATGAATAAGGGTCTTATCAAGCGAAACGATCCCTCATTTAAAAAAAACAAACAAAGTTTAAGTTTTATAAGCTCAAATGCTCACCTTGCTCTGTTCTGTGACGCACGTTTGTGACTCTCCTGTTCATCAAAATGAACAAATCTTTTTCCGAGTCAATTCGTTCATTTTGTTCGTTGAATGAACCAAATGACACGAAAAAAGATTTGTTCATTTTGATGAACGAGTCAAACGAGCGCTGAAACACAAAACGGTCTTGCCGAGCACACACATATGCAAAGGCGAAGAAGATCTACGCCAAGTAGTGTCGCCGTCTACACATAGCCAGGAAGATGCAAGGCAAGATGAACGTAGAGTTGCTGATCTCATTGGTATTAGAAAGAACTATATGACAAACGCGACAGCGACTACAAACATCTTGATAAATGAGAACTGATGTGGTACTGGAGTGGTATAGACCATTTCACAAGATGTAAACAACACTGGTCCAGAAACACTTCCTGTTTCAGTTTGTAACTGTTTTCTTTATTTCACATGTAAAGAAAACATCTTAAAGATGTTTGTTAAACTTTTTTATTGAGTTTTAAATGTTCTGTTGGTTGTATTTTATCCCAGCTTTTATGTAGTGTTAAAAAACTGAAACAGGAATTGCTTCTGGACCAGTGTTGTTTACATCGTGTGAAATGGTTGGCGCCATCTAATGTCAGGGAATGAATTTGCATGTTCACTCGGCTCATCGTCAGCGAAAATCGCGTGGGTGTGAACACAAAAAACGCGTTGAAAAACATTGAGGAATAACGCGAATATGCCGTGCGTCACGTGACCAAACCGGAAACCGGGTATCATCGCATCCGCTTGTCAGAGAAAGTGTTAACGACCGTAAGAACTGACTACGATATCTATGGATATTTAAGGTAATCAGCTAACCTAACTAGTTCACTTTGTTATTGGCGTTTTATTCCGTTTAAATATCTAAACGTTACTGTGAAGAATAAAAAATATAAAACAAAAATATCAATCTGCACATGTGAGGGATATTTGTTATGCTAATCTTTGCTCGCTCCGTCCTTTTAAGTTATCTTGAGTAAATAAACCGCAAAAAAATTTCATGAAGCACATACAAAAGACCTGGACCGGAAGCGATGCGACCTGTTTTACAGAGAATGCGGAAGTAAGTTGTGCATAAAGCCTATTCGGTGGTGTGTACGGGCTTTAACAGATTAATTGAGTCGCAGGTGACGGGAATAAACCAATGAGACACACTGGGAAACTAAATCAAATAAAGGGGCACTCAATGAAGAAAAACAAAACAGGTTTTCAATGACATCCGGCCACTGTGTAGTGACCCTCTACAGTAGCAATGAGATTCAAGGATCAATGTAATCAGTTCAGTATTTGTTTTCCCCCCCCCTAAAATATATGATAGAAAGTTAGGACACAGAGTTCACCGCCTCACACCAGCGGGTCTGTTCCAGCTCGTGTCTGTCAACACCTCCTGCTGGAGGGTGATGAAAACCGTTCTGCCTCATTTCTTCCAGTCTACTCATTCCCGCTCCCTGCTTGGTGTCGACCCCAGAGACTGCAACCAGTGTTTTCTGACAGGCTATCAGACCTCTGCGTAAACGCTTATCTTCATTTTTTTACAAAGGCAAGAGGGGCCCTCGTTGTCTGAATGGAGACCACCCTGTAATGGTCGTATATCACACGCTTTTTCAAGAGCTATGGAATAGATTGCCATCCTCTTTGTTCTATATTTTTGTTGTCAGATTTTGGGACCTTTCCCCATTGCATCGCCTTTCTTATCAAAAGCAAACCAAGTTATTCAACAAAAACCCCCTCATGCAGTTTCCCCTTGTTTTGTGCCCAAATTCCCTACGCTGCTTTTTAAAGCAATGAAGCTTCATTTTCCTGTTCGACCTGACCACTAAACTGTTGTGTGATAGAAGCTGATTGGCTGATTTTCTCTCCAACCACTGCACAGGAACACATGGTTTTATTCTTCCTCAGCAAGAAACAACTATTGTCATCAAAGAGTATAAATAAAGATTACTATAAATAAATATGTATGGTCACATTTTAGATCAAGGTCCAACTACCACTTTTGCCTCAAGAAACTTTCTGCTTATTATTACTTAGTACGGTAGTTGGTAAGTTGTTAAAGGAGTAGTTCACTTTTAAAAAAAACTTTTGCTGATAATTTACTCACCCCCGTGTCATCCAAGATGTCCATGTCTTTCTTTCTTCAGTCGAAAAGAAATTTAGGTTTTTGATGAAAACATTCCAGCATTTTTCTCCATATAATGGACTTCAATGGGAACCACACGGTGACGGTTCAAGGTCCAAGTGACACTTTCAGTGCAAACTGTTCAAAGAGCTTTAAACGATTCCAGACGATGAATAAGGGTCTTATCAAGGGAAACGATCGCTCATTTAATAATTAAATTAAGTTTTATAAGCTCAAATGCTCACCTTGCTCTGTTCTGTGATGCACGTTTGTGACTCTCTTTTTTCGTGTCATTTGGTTGATTCAACGAACGAAATGAATGAATTGACGAACATGTTGATGAACGAGTTCGAACAGGAGTCACGAACGCTCATCACAGAACAGAGCAAGGTGAGCATTTAAGCTTATAAAACGTAAACTTTGTTATTTATTTATTAAATAAGCGATCGTTTCGCTTGATAAGACCCTTATTCATCGTCTGGAATCGTTTAAAGCCCTTTGAACAGTTTGCACTGAAAGTGTCACTTGGACCTTGAACCGTTTGGACCCCATTGAAGTCCATTATATGGAGAAAATCCTGGAATGTTTTCATCAAAAACCTCAATTTCTTTTCAACTGAAGAAAGAAAGACATGGACATCTTGGATGACATGCGGGTGAGTAAATTATCAGCAAAAGTATAGGTATCAAGAAGGATTAGGGGATGTAGAATATAGTCTAATATGTGCTTTATAAGTACTTATCAACAGCCAGCATCCTAGTAATGCATGCTAATGAGCAAAAGGCACAATAAATACGTTTTAGAGTCACTTAATCAAAACAAAGGCGTAGTTTGATGATGCCGTGATTGATTGTGGATTCATGGGAGTTGTCGTCTGCACCTCCACAGCCGATGGAAACGAATCTGACGGACTCTGGCAGAAATCGAGTTCGAGGAAGTTTTAGTAACATTACTGTGGTGTGATTAGGGTGGGCCGAGAGCTGTGGGAACTGTGGAGAGCTCTATGAACTGAACTGGGGGTGCTCCTCATTGGCCCCACACCACGCCCTAAGGCCTTCCTCGAAGTGGACACTTGTTGAAAGTGCACTTAGCGGAGGAAGTGTGCAAGGGCTTGAAGCTGTGAAAAGCAGAACTGGGACAGTATTCCACACGTCACGTCTGTTGTGATCAGGGGAGCAAACACCGTTCATTTGGCTAAACCGTTCACCCTAGCAATGGTGCCATCAGCACCCTAGCAACCATTGAGATAATCTTAGCAACTTCTAAGCAACATATACAGCCACCCCCACCACCAACCAAAAGACTGTATTCAGATATGAATATGTTGTAACTACATTTCGCAGATGTTCATCACCGAATAAAGGAGTATACGGGTATTTCTGGGTAGTTTCCATAGTCCTCTGTCTTCACTGTGTGTATCATAGAGAAACATGCAGCCGTCAGAGACTACAATGTAATGAATGTTTCCAGAATTAATAGCGGACTTACCTTTCAACAGCAGCACATTGTGTGTGCGTCAGTCATCAAGAGTCTGTGTGGTTACCAAATCCATCAGCATGGAGGTGATAGCTGTCTAACACAAAAGACCAGTGCCCTCGATTCAGAGGTTACAGCTCACCAGACTCGGAAAAATCTCTGAATTTCTTGTTTCTGTTAGCAGTGAGATCCTTTCGAGGATAAGAGAAACCTTGCTGGACTGTTATCAGTGGTGTTGTGGTGATTGGTGATTCCAGATATTTTGTATTTTTACTCAAAAATATGCCATCCATCCATCCGTCCGTCCAACTTCACTTGCGTTAGCATTTCCATTGACTCCCATTCATTTTGGCGTCAGCAAATAACTTTACATCTGAGGCATTTGAAGACCCCATTTGTCCTTTATTTATTTCTAAAGAAACACGACAATGTATATAATGCTACATTACCTAGCTTGTGTTATGGCCCCGTAGAAGCAGTTTTAGTGAAAGTAGGCTAACGATTGCGTCATACCCACGCGACTCTCCGTCGCACAGTAGAGAGATTACCGTATGGACAGGAGGAGAAGCTTGCGTGCAATCGGGGAAACGTGGAGGCAAAATGACTAAATAATTAATCAGAATACCTATCCTTCTCCTATCTCATGGACCAACCCGATCTCACGACCAAGTCGTACGAATTCGACGAATGATTAAAAAGTGGCT